ACCTTGTGGCTAATAGCCACTGATGGACCTCTGCTCCATATGCTTATCTAATTCCCTTTTGAAGCCGTCCATGCTTGTAGCCGCCACCACCTCCTGTGGCAGTGAATTCCACGTGTTAATCTCTCTTTGGGTGAAGAAGGACTTCCTTTTATCCGTTCTAACCCGACTGCTCAGCAATTAAATTGAGTGCCCACCAGTGTTCCCTCTAAGCTGAGTTAGTGTGAGCTAGCTCACAGTTTTTTGGCCTCTGGCTCACACATTTTTGTCTCAGCTCAGGAAGGAGGGCTCCAGAGCCAACTCATTTATGCAGCAGCCAAATCGCTCGCTCACAACTTTAATGCCAGCAGCTCATGAAGTAGAATTTTTGCTCACAAGGCTCCATGGCTTAGAGGGAACATTGGTGCCCACGAGTTCTTGTATTGTGTGAAAGGGAGAAAAGTACCTCTTTCTCAACCTGCTCTATCCCATGCAGAATCTTAGAAACCTCGATCATGTCACCCCTCAGCTGTCGTTTCTCCAAGCTAAAGAGCCTCAAGCGTTTTAACCTTTCTTCATAGGGAAAGGGTTCCAACCCTTTTATCATTCCCACCAATAGAAAAGAAAGCATACAGGAACAAATCCATGGTAAACAAAGCTCTGAGTTTGACATCAGCAGCGGAAGGGGCTGAGGCAGGCATGGCAGCACTGCCTGACCAGGAGAAGCAGGCAGCCAATGGAGAGAAAACGGGGTTGCCACTTGCCAGCCCTGGGTTCGGAAATCTGGAGATTTCAGGTTGGAGCCTGGGAACGGGGTTTAGGGAGGAGGAGGGATCTTGGTATGTTATAATGTCATGCAGTCCACCTCCCAAAGCAGCCATTTTCTCCAGGAGAAGTAGAATACATATTTTTAAATAAATAAATAAGCTATTTGTAAAGTCTGGCGATCGGTTGTAATTCCGGGAGTTCTCCAGCTCCCATCTGGAGGTTGGCAACTCTAAGGACAGACAGGTGCCAGGAACCGGCAAGTAGGCTCCGCCCAACCGGTGGGAATTCCACTCCACAGTCCCCCCTGGATCAGCCAATCAGAAACTGGCAGGATGCCCAAGGGGTGACCTATCACAGGGAAGGAAAACAGTGAGGAAGGAACCGGCTCAGCTCCTCTCCGACAGGCTGGGCCATCCAGAGGACAGTGGATTGGGCGAGGCTGGGAAAGGGGTGGGGCCAAACCCAACCCATATAAAGCCAACCCCACAACTGGCCAGGGAGAAATGAGAGGGTCTTGCCCCCAGGTCTTGGTAGGGAGCACAGACCCAGAGAAGAGGAACGAGGCGTCGTCATCTCCTCAGCTTCTTGGGTTGCCAACTCCAGGCTGGAAAATTCCTGGACATTTGGGGTGGAGCCTGGGGAGGGTAAGGTTGGGGGAAGAGGAGGGACCCCAGCAGGGTAGAATGCCACGGAGTCTGCCCTCCAAAGCAGCCATTTCCTCCAGGGGCACTGATCTTGATCATCTGGAGATCAATTATAATAGTGGGAGATCTCCAGGCGCAACCTGGAGGTTGGCCACTCTATTTAGCAGCTCATCTGGTACCACCAATCTGCACTGCTGTCTCCCATCCAGCGCCCCCACTCCCCCATCCCTTCCCCACCCTCCTTTACCTGTTCGGCGTTTTCAGGAGAAGTTGAGCCAGGCGCAAACTTCCATTCCAGCACGAAGTTCTTGTTGACGGAGGTTTTGTAATGGCATGGGAGCTCCACACTCAAGCCCTTCTGCTGCATCACTGGGTCAGTTGGAACAGTCACCTCCACGCATGCCTCACGGTCTATGGGACATGCAAAAATGGGCTGGCAAGCAGTGTTCCCTCTAAGCTGAGATAGTGTGAGCTAGCTCACAGTTTTTTAGCCTCCGGCTCACAGATTTTTGTCTTAGCTCAGGAAGGATGGCTCCAGAGCAAACTCATTTATGTAGCAGCCAAATCGCTAACTCACAACTAACTTTAATGCCTGTAGTGCACAAAATAGAATTTTTGCTCACAAGACCCCACAGCTTAGAGGGAGCATTGCTGGCAAGTTCCATCACCTTGGGTCTTGGACTGCTTTCTGTTCCTTGTGTCCGGCATGGATTCTTCCCGTTTGGTTGCTGCTAAAGCCGCCTTCCACCCATTAGCACCAGTCTCCCTCTCTCTGTACTCTCCTCGCTGGCTTTTCCGCCATACCCTTCAACTACCCTTCCACCACCCCACCCACATTCTGTTATCACAAGAGGTGGTCCTGAGAAGTTGTACATTATGGCCTTTTGGTCTGCCATTGCTGCTTCCCTATCTTATGTTGAGAGAAATCAAACACTAGCCCTGTTCACATATTACAGTGAACATATGTACATCCTGCCTGTCCGTGCATACATCTGTTCGTAAAGAATAGCCAACAAGTATTCACCTTACAAATGAAACCGGGGACCAGCACCTGGATACATATGCAGTTTCGATCACATGTGCAGCTGTACATGCATTGAATATAACATGACAATTATTCAACTCACAAAGCACAATCACGTGTACACTGTACAAAGAGTACACTCCAATGGCCACAGATGTTTCTTCTGTGGGTGCTAACTCTAATTAGTGCATTCACTGTGACTTATTAACAGGGTTACTGTGGATGGCTCTCTGACTAAGATTTTCAGTAAAGACATCTGATAGAAATGAAGATCTTTGACAAAAAAAGGGAGGGGGATTAATGTTCTTTAATGTCTGCAGATGTCTTCAAGGGGTGCTAACTCTTAGGCTGTGATCTCTGCTTAGCATGACGTTCTTGACAACCTTGTGGTGTAGTGGTTATAGCAACTGACTTGGCCTGAGAAGGTTGGTAGTTGAATCCCTGTTCTGTTAAGAAGCTCAGTAGGTGACCTTGAGCCACTCTCTCTCTCTCTCTCTCTCTCTCTCTCTCTCTCTCTCTCTCTCTCTCTCCCCCTCTCCCTCTCCTCCCCCCCCGCCGCTCCCCACCCCTGCCTGGGGCCAGGGAGGGCCTTGGCGCGGCTTCCTTGCACTCCCGCCGGCCTTGCAGGTCCACCGCTGGGCCCCTGATGTCAGGGGGTGTGGCATATGCTAATGAGTTATGCTAATGAGTTCCCCTAGCTCTTTTTCAACGAAATGACCCCTGGGCGTAGTGGTTATAGCGACTGACTTGGCCTGAGAAGGCTGGTAGTTGAATCCCTGCTCTGTTAAGAAGCTCAGTAGGTGACCTGGACCCAATCTCTCTCTCTCTCCCCCCTCTCCCTCCCTCTCTCTCTCTCTCTCTCTCTCTCTCATAAGAACATAAGAACATAAGAGATGCCAGTGTTGGATCAGGCCAAAGGCCC